AGAGTAATACATATGTGTTTATGATGGGTTGATTATAAGAGTAATATGTGTTTATGATGGATTGATTATAAGAGTAATACATATGTGTTCATGATGGGTTGATTATAAGCGTAATACATATGTGTTTATGATGGGTTGATTATAAGAGTAATAGATATTTTTTTTTGATGGGTTGATTATAAGAGTAATACATATGTGTTTATGATGGATTGATTATAAGAGTAATACATATGTGTTTATGATGGATTGATTATAAGAGTAATACATATGTGTTTAAGATGGGTTGATTATAAGAGTAATACATATGTGTTTATGATGGGTTGATTATAAGCGTAATACATATGTGTTTATGATGGGTTGATTATAAGAGTAATACATATGTGTTTATGATGGGTTGATTATAAGAGTAATATGTGTTTATGATGGATTGATTATAAGAGTAATACATATGTGTTTATGATGGGTTGATTATAAGTGTAATACATATGTGTTTATGAAGGGTTTGATTATAAGAGTAATACATATGTGTTTATGATGGGTTTGATTATAAGAGTAATACATATGTGTTTATGATGGGTTGATTATAAGCGTAATACATATGTGTTTATGATGGGTTGATTATAAGAGTAATACATATGTGTTTATGATGGGTTGATTATAAGAGTAATATGTGTTTATGATGGATTGATTATAAGAGTAATACATATGTGTTTATGATGGGTTGATTATAAGTGTAATACATATGTGTTTATGAAGGGTTTGATTATAAGAGTAATACATATGTGTTTATGATGGGTTTGATTATAAGAGTAATACATATGTGTTTATGATGGATTGATTATAAGAGTAATACATATGTGTTTATGATGGATTGATTATAAGAGTAATACATATGTGTTTATGATGGGTTGATTATAAGAGTAATATATATGTATTTATGATGGATTGATTATAAGAGTAATATATATGTGTTTATGATGGATTGATTATAAGCGTAATACATATGTGTTTATGATGGGTTTGATTATAAGAGTAATAGATATTTGTTTTTGATGGGTTTGATTATAAGAGTAATACATATGTGTTTATGATGGATTGAATATGAGAGAAATACATATGTGTTTATGATGCATTGATTACAAGAGTAATACATATGTGTTGGTAGGGTTTTCAGTAATTGTTTGTAACTATTTGGGGAGAATATGGATATGGAAAATCTATGATAGAGCCTTTTCATGTTGTCTATTAAGCCATTTTAAACTGTTAGTGAATAAAATATATGAAAAGAAATAAAGGTCAAAGGGATACAATGTGTTTTCTCCAGGTCTATTTACCATTGATGAAGGAAAACATCAAAATGAATTAAGACTAAAAAAACGCATTGTTGTTGTTCAGTGATAGTCTAACAAATGCACCAGAAATGTCAAACGCATTATGTCAATTAACTTTGTACAACTGAATTAAAACATATTTAAATGTCACACATGAGTATGTTTGTACGTGTAAAATGCATCTTACAGGAAATAACTGTATTTATTGTTGTTCATCTGGGAGACACATTTTCCCCCTGTATTCACTTGAAATATCCTATAATGTTATTTCCATAGAGAATTTACGTATATATGGCATTATATTTTAATTGAGTACTGTGTCAGATTGCGGCTTGGTAACTTATTCTGATATTACATTCTAATGAACCATTCTAGATGATAATGTTTTCCTGAAACCTTACAAATTTACTAAAAAGTTTTAAATAGGATATTTGAATTATTATTGATCTTAATAAGCACATGGTACATGTTCCACATGTGTAACGTCCATCCTTTTTTCTTACAAAATGGTATTAAGAATTTTACAATTAGTATATATATATATATATATATATATATATATATATATATATATATATATATATATATATATATATATATATATATATATATATATATATATATGACCTATTTCTTTGCATGTATTCACTCAGAATATAAAACATATTCTTTTCAGCATGAAATATCTTACTTATGAATTTAATCTTTTATTTAAAATAATTTATTTACCCTGGAAAATACTTGTGCTCATCAGAATTCTTAGCAAAGACATTTACTGAAAATTTTTTAGGAATTCTAAAGCTGGAATATTACTCTTAGTGATTCAACAAGGAACTGTTGACACAACGACACAAAGCAGGTTACAGAAAACGTCATCACCTTCCATCTTGGAACTTCATTGGGATTTGAACTTGATTTAGTTAGAACTTTTAAGTGATCGGACTTCTATTTTTAAATATTGGATTCATTTTTGGATTTGATTCATAAACCGTAAGTCCATTTTCATATTTTAATCTTGTTTGTATAGGGAAATAAATTATTTTTAAATTTTACGAAGCTTGTTGGTTTCACTCTTTTTTTTCTTACATTTGTACGAGCCTAGACACGTAATAAAGCATTAGTCACGCAGGCCCAGACTCCTACCCTCAGTTATGGACAAAGGTCAAGTTCAGTCGCACAAGTCAAATGAAATATATTACATATGCTTATTTAATTTGAAATGTAGTTACAATAGAACCATGGACCAGAAACCAACACACAATACAAATTAAATATTTACAACACTATCGCACGGAAGTATAGTACCTAAGATATGGCATAGACTTCATTTGAGATCAGCACCACTGTTTAGTAAGGTTAAACTCTATTTTCCTTGTACATTGTCCCCTTATTTGGTTATTGACATTGAAACGCAATGCATTTTTCTATAAAACATGAGACAGCTCAAAATAGGAAATTTGGGTACATTCTTATTAATAATATTTATACTTTTAGGCTGGTGCTTACAGCAACCCACTTATTTATTTGTGTTGAGGCAACTGGAGTCATGTGCTTGTTCAAAGAGAGGACGGTAACAGGTCCAGACTTGTCTGATGGTAAGATCTGAAACCGCACCTTTTTTGGTACAAGTCGAACCACTGAACCACAGCGGCTACATTTACTGCATTGAAAAATTAATAAATATGGTGTAGCAAATCTCATTTTGGTGTCTAAAAAAAATTTGGTCCAATACTTGCATCTCGTGGAACATAAATACTACACACTTTGTGACAGTTGTCACACACCATGTTTCCTATGAAAATTTAATGACTTGATTAGTAAAGTTAAAATGAGCGTGGCATGCACTTATACGAATTTGGCTGAAAGTGTCCCATTTTAACTATGGTTCTAACTATTGCTTGCGGGTCTCTATCCATGCATGTAGTCCTAGTCTATATTTAGAGAATTATTTTCCTCTTTCTTTTGGTACAAGAGTTAGATCATAGGCAAAATTAGTATTGGTTTGAAGGATATTATTTATTCTTTAGAATATTAGCATTTTGGTGTGGTTGTCTGTATGTACAGCGAGTAAAGAGGCATTGTTGCTGGTCCGGACGTAAAATATGTGATCTACTGCTTTTGTTTTGTTAACAATCCTCCCTTTCTAAAAAAAATGCCGCTAGACAAAAACTTCATCGCGAATTCTTCTTTGAACTTATTTTAGATCAACAGATGATTTATTAGGATTTGGACAAACTATGAAGTTCGATATTGAAAAACAAATGTACGGACTATATTGGGTAAAATTATTGTGACCTGAGTATACGTGTATTTACACGTGTCTGTTATTGTGGCACTGACTACAGATGTTTCTTACCCGAGACAGACTGAATAAAAAGTCGACACTGCAAATACTTACGTATGTCTTCATTGGTCTTAATAATGTTTGTTTTTGAAAGGACTCTTCGAATGTGTGCTCTGAAAATGAATAATTAATAATATTGGAGTATTAGTAAACACAAATGAGTAAATAGCAACACTGGTGTATTAGTAAACACAAATGAGTAAACAGTAATATTGGAGTATTAGTAAACACAAATGAGTAAGCAGTAATTATTATTGGTGTATTAGTAAACACAAATGAGTAAACAGTAATATTGGTGTATTAGTAAACACAAATGAGTAAATAGTAACACTGGAGTATTAGTAAACACAAATGAGTAAGCAGTAATTATTATTGGTGTATTAGTAAACACAAATGAGTAAACAGTAATATTGGTGTATTAGTAAACACAAATGAGTAAACATTAACATTGGAGTATTAGTAAACACAAATGAGTAAGCAGTAATTATTATTGGTGTATTAGTAAACACAAATGAGTAAACAGTAACATTGCAGTATAATAGTAAACACAATGAGTAAATGGTATGTTTTTAGTAATAATAAACACAAATAAACAGCAACATTGGATTATTAGTAATCACAAATGAGTAAACAGCAACATTGGAGCAACAGAAAGCACAAATGAGTAAACGGTACATTTGAGTAATGTATATATATCGGACTGGAAAACAAGTGTTTCAACTTACGAGTTAATCTTAATGCATTGATCAATGAGCATCCCGGCATGGAACAGACATTAAGATAGGTGAAATAAATATAGAAAATGAAACGAGAGAAAAAAAAAACAAATGAAAAAAAAGGAAACGGAAGAAAATGTTCCGGCTGGTTAAATTTTAACCGATGCAATAAGGTAAAAATTTATTTAATCATATACTTGCGAATCGTTTTTGTTCATTACAGACTTTATATTTCTATAGCCAAATGTTTAGGTTTGCTGTGCAAATTTCGTTGCCAAATTAAAATTGTATCAGAATCCATATTAGTATTCATCACTGATAGTCCCAGGAAAGGATCATTTCCGGCGTTATTAAACAATCTGTATTTGAAAGTGTGCGTGTGTGTTTTGGACTTTTAACGTAGCTTTAACAGTTTTTCAGTCATATCGCTACGATGTCTGCAGTGTAACAGTTCAGAGTGATGTCTAGCACTGGGGCAAAAATGCAGCATGATGCCACACTCAGTCATATTATCCTGACGCCAGGCCGACCAGTACTAACACATTTCCTTTTTAAATGATGAGCGCCTAGCGAGGCATTTGTTAGTAGCATTTTTAAAAGTCTTTACTATGACTCAGCCGGGGTTTAAACCCGTGATCTCACGCTTCAGAGGAAGACGCCTTAACCACTAGGCTACCGAAGCCGTCGCATTAAGAAAGAAAACTATGGTAGTTTTCTATCGTAAATCAGCCGGAAATGAGATTTCATCTAAATAAATTATAATTAAGCAATCTGCCTTCTGCTTCATAGCACATAAGCTTTATGTTTAAGACTAAATGCTATAAAACATATGGGGTTGGTAATTTCCGTTTTTTTTTTAAAAAAAGAAATCACCTTTTTGTGAAGGTAGACCATCAAAATAATATGCTTCACTGCTTGCAAAATTTGGAAGTCAAGAGAATAATCAAGCTGCTTCAAGCTATTAAAGTTTCAAATTTATCGGAGATTAAGCTATTGAAAGAAGATTTAATTCCGAAGGAATATTCTAGCACTAGGCGAATGGGGGTTATATAGATAGTATCCAGGTTATGTTTCATATATATATATATATATATATATATATATATATATATATATATATATATATATATATATATATATATATATATATATATATATATATATATATATATATAGAGAGAGAGAGAGAGAGAGAGAGAGAGAGAGAGAGAGAGAGAGAGAGAGATTGCTTTGCAAAGTTTGCTCAATCAGATCAGTTTTGATGATTATCATTATTATGATCTGAGATAAATATCGAGCAGACGATAGTAAAAAGGATTCGTCTGCAAATAATCTAATTAGTGAATTCAAACTATGAGTCTAATACCTACAAGAAAATAATGGCCTCTGATACGCAAGCCGTGAGTCGTCCAAGGTTTGAGAACTTGTTTCCTACGGTGACTCTTTGAGTCCTATTAGGTATGTATTCATCGGTCCATACCACTAGATTTCCGTTCTTTCCATAACTTTCCAATTTAACAACCCAATGGGAAAGTCTATCAACGGTTTTCGATATATCACATAATATAATACATAAATTTCACTTCGGTCAACTGCATTGCAAATGTTATGAAAGAAAACTTCAATTCATTTTTACCCCAATGATATATCACCATCATTTATAACAAAATATAGAAACATTATTTGCTCTTTCCTCTTTTCTTTAAATTAGAGAAAAATGCACCGTGTATTACACATTTTTTTCTCTCTCGAACGATTCTATACTGGCTATTTTTAAATCGATTTTCTCATACAAGTCGTTTGTTGCATGCTGTTTGTAAGTATGTATAAGTCATGGTCTTTACGGTTACTAAGTCAGTATTGGAAAAGAAAAAGGACACATATGTGGAAGTCAGAAGTGTTTTCGTCACCTTATTCTCTATTTATGATTTTGTAATGTCTTTCTTATAAACATTTACTATGCAGTAAAAGGCATCGTTTAAATTAGCAATATCAAAATCATAATAAAATTTAGTGATGTTAGACTATATATTTGTATTCAATTTTATTTATTCACCTATTTCTGTCTGTAATAAAAGAATTATTGTCATATCATAAAAACGAGAATAAAATAAATGTTTTGTTAGCCAAAATAATTCATACGATGTCGCTCTTCCGTTTATTTCAAATTTGACAGTAAAGGTGTAGTCAATGGATTTGTAGTTACTGATCAGTAAATTTGTTTAATAAATTATTGAATAAATTGATTCATTTGTTTGTTAAATAACATCCCGAGGAACACTTTTGGTACAATTGTAGTGATATTTTTTAAAATCCTAAACAACTATTAGTCAATATATGAATACGTTAATACAAGTGACCTTACGAATTGTATTACCTCTTCATGTTAACATAGTTTACGAGAAGCAGATGTTTAATGAAAAGCTTCGTTTGTTTTTTTTGATGAAACTATTTAAATCATTTAAAATAAAACTATAATATAGCTCGTTGAGAGAAAAAGAATCACCCTTTGAATTGCCGTTTAAAAGAAATTATACAGGAAAAGCCCCTTTTATAGCAACAATCCAATTTTAAGGTTCATAATTCACCAAATATTGTTAATGAACGATGCAATAATGGCTTAAATAATTGTGCATAAAAAATACTTTGGCAGCAAATGTTTACCGCATATTCCATGATACTTGCCAGTAGCTTCTCGTGGGTCGCTGGTTCTTTCTGCGGATTGCCCGGTTTCTTCCTCCACCATTAATACTGGCCGCCATGTATATACAATCAAATGCTGAAAATAGCGTTAAGCCCCAGAACAACAACAATAACAACAACAACAACAACAACAACCGCAATGGCTAGAAACAAATAAAGGTGAGGGCTAGCATTTAAAACTGTAATCGAAAGACCTATATAGCGACATGAGAAACATATTCCGAAATTTAAGTTTTGAGCTCTGTGCAGTTATAAATGATTTAAATAAAGTATTTATCTAAAGTTTTAAGGCCTGTCCATACTAATTATGGAAAATCTTCTGATTAATCAATACTTAAATCTCATTTAGTTCTGGGCATGTGATTTGACATGTAGGTACCTCGATGATAACGTGCCATTCGTCATTAAAGATACGGACTTAAAGATTGGGAGAAAAGAAAATATATCGGAAATTTCCCCCGTTCTTAAGTGGCGAAGACATTTTTAAAATAAGGGGCTTATTCCAGCCTGATACCCTTGCATCCTAGAGAATAGTTTCTCCAGGTAGAACATGGTGACAATGTCCAAGTAGCTTTCATGAAGGGACGGATATGAGGACTGCGAAACTGAGACTTAAGGAGGGACATTTCGTGGTTCTTTTTCATTTACAGAATTCCGAATTCATTCCAAATTACTTCCCTGACCCTGAAGTACTTGCACCTGATGCTCTGCCTTTATTCCATCTAGATAACGAGAAATGTTACAAAAGTATGAGCATCACTTGCAACAGATAGAATAGAGAAAGAATGTGAAAAAGGTAATTACGAAAAAAAATGGAGCACCAATTGAACTTGGTTAATTGAACCCATATAAATTTGTATGCAGACAGACAATGGCATGTTACAGATAGGATGACGTTGGATTTATCCAATAACTTAGTAATCCTGCATACCTTTGGAAAGCATCAATAACGGAATCAAAAATGCAAATACAGGTGTTTGCTTGAGTATTTGATGATGGCACCGAATCTTTATGTTTCCGATTCGATTTAATCCATTTTGTCTTGTTTGAGGATGGCACCGATCTTTCCAATCTAGATCAACAAATAAAATGGCTCTTGCGAGGTGACATTATACGTATGAACATTTTTATTATTATTATTATTATTATTATTATTATTATTATTATTATTATTATTATTATTATTATTATTATTATTATTATTATTATATGGGCATCGCGATACATTTTGAAATCTACTTTCTTAATTTAGTATTTGTCAGACTCGTAGCAAACATTAAAATTATCATCCACTGTCTGCAGCGTCCAAAAATAATGATGAACAACTGTATAAAAAGTCTGTTAAAAAATGGGAAAGTTAGGGCAACTCACCCCTCAAAACAAAACAAAGAATGACATCAGACAGACACAACAAACAAATGGTACCATCTTGAAAGCAAGAAACTTAATGGAATTTAGTGCACATGGATGATCATACATACCTACCTACCTACCTACCTACCTACCTACCTACCTACCTACCTACCTACCTACCTACCTACCTACCTACCTACCTACCTACATACATACATACATACATACATACATACATACATACATACATACACACACACACACACACACACACACATACATACATACATACATACATACATACATACATACATACATACATACATACATACATACATACATACATACATACATACATACATACATACATACATACATACATACATACATACATACATACATAATTCTAAGATCCCATCACTGAGTTCTGTACTTTTAGGAACGAGTCATATAATGCGTAAGTTGGTTTCATTAATAAATTCTGAGGTCGGTGTCTCGAGTAGGCCATGAGTGACGCGAATGGAGGTTAAAATAACATCTCGTCATTCAACGTGAACATTTGGATTTATAGAAAGGCTAGACTATCATTGTTCCCGATTGGTTAAAAGGGCCACAGTTGCTTTTGCTTACTGATTTATGTCTTTTGAAATAATACTGATTTCACTGAAATATGGAATATCATTCTAGACCAACATCAGCTATTGCGTTTTAAGCTTAATATATGTTTTTATACAAGCGATGTAGAACGCGGAATCATTTAATCTTAAAATTTATATCAGTTTTGAAATAGTTTTGAGAAGATTTATTCATTTGCAACCGTTCGTTGGATTTCAAGAGTTTGGAACATTTATTCAAAGATATTCGTATATTAATAGCTGATCTGTATTATTGTATGTTTATTCAAAATAAAGTTAGATATTTACTATAATATTCAAGGAGGAATATTATTTGGGATTTCTGTACTATAAATAAATAACTAAATTACTCTCATTCGGAATACATTTGCGAACGGATTCAGATTATCTCAGATCTATTGGAATTGTTATAACATTTATGAAATATACATTCATACCATACCGTAAGTTATTTTAATTCTTTTACTTTATATTTGAGGGAAATAAATTAATATTTTCAATTAACATCATTTGTGAAATCAACTAGAGCAAAACATGAATAATCATTCACTTAAAATGATTGATCACCTAACTACCATGATAAAAGTTAATTAAATTAGAAATGATTTAGCTAAAGACACATAACACTAAAGGAGGGAAGGAAGAAATAGTTTTAACAAGTGTTCCCCATGAAATGAATGTTGCAGTTGTTAGGATAAGCAGCATTCAGCAGTCTTGGGGTAATTATTTCTGTACGTTTATCATATTTTGTTGCAAAAGCTTTAAAGGCATCCCGGTATACATTAACGTTTTAAAGAGCAATAAGATTGTAATTTCTGCTAAAACTAAGTTGAATACGACTGATGAAGTGTATAGCAAACGATAATGAAATAAGTCATGTTGAGTTTAATATAATAATGAGTGAATAATGCCAATATTCAGGAGAATTTAACAATGAAGATCATAATTATATATATATATATATATATATATATATATATATATATATATAT